CGGTGGAGGCTGGTGATGATAGGGGGGTATCGGTGATGGGATTATTGCCTTAGGGCTGGTTGTTTTTGGGTGATCAGTGTTTTTGGGTGTTTGGACGAGGTAACGACTTTGGATTGGTCAGTCGGTAGTGAAGCGAGTCGTCCAACGGTTTCCTGAGAGTCAGGCTGACAATCCGTTCGTTTTGTCTGTTTGATAACGGTCGAGTCCAGATGGCAGTGAACAACCGTCAAGGGGAGTTAATCCGATTCCAAGCAATGTGAATCGGAGTTCACAAATTGGATCCGAGTCGCTGTTGAGTTGTCGAGTCAGGATTCAGGGTCTCGGAGTGACTTGCCCTTGGGTCAACTCAGGACAGGAGTAAGACTCCGACAACCCCTCCTGAGTCCCTCCTCATGTCAGGGGACTCCGGAGGGAGGTTCAGGCGATGCCTGCCGATAACATTGGCATCGCCTGCAATATATTGGCATCGCATCGGGAAATCAATGTGATGCCGATTCTCCGCATCAGTTTTTCCAATGCGGGGCCCCGCATTGCTCACTCCGATACAATGCGATGCAATGCCGATGCATGCATCACATCCGTTTCACCGTTGTTGGTAGGGGCTTTCCTCACCTGTGTGGATCCAATTCATCTGCTTTAAACCAAAGATTCAGGTGTCATCATCTTCGGTTTAAAGCCGAATTCACAGCTGAGCTGGGGGAGCTGCCCGAAATTCTTCCCCCCCTGACGCCTCATGGGGTTTTAGTTTATCATTATTAACCTTCCAGACATGCTTCCAACAGTTTCTGTCCAAAAAAAATTTGGCCATTTTGGTGTGGTTAGCTGACCCAGCTCAGCCCAGCTCCCCTTCACATAGAGCTCAACCCAGCTCTACACAGCTCCTGTACACACCTAAGCCAACCCATCCAGCTCAACCCAGCTCCCACTCAGCCAACCCATCCAGCTCACCCCAGCTCCCACTCAGCCAATCCATCCAGCTCACCCCAGCTCCCAAGACACAGCTCTACACAGCTCCTGTACACACCTCAGCCAACCCATCCAGCTCACCCCAGCTCCCACTCAGCCAATCCATCCAGCTCAACCCAGCTCCATACAGCTCAACCCTGCTCCTACAACACAGCTGCACCCAGCTCCACCGAGCTCCACTCAGAGTGATCCAACTCCATGCAGCTTCACACAGCTCCCACTCCAGCCCATCCATCCTGTTTCACAAGCTTCCACGT